TACATATTTCTTTATTCTCACTGATTAAACAACATATAATTATATTTAAGCCTCTTATTTGTGTATCATGGCAGCATTAAGAAAAGCTCTGTGATTTGTCTGCATGGTTTTTTTTTTCCAAATAGCAGAGGGCTGTGCTCTCTCTCCTCCTTTGGAGCATTGCTGTGGTGGAGTTGCCCAAACAGCAGCAGCCAGGTGCCTGCTGCCCCAGCCAGCTCCTGGCAAACGGGCTGGCAGTGTGTTGTGACAGGTAATATTCAGCTCTGTGTTTCTTGGACTCTGAGTGCAGTGTTTACAGCAGCTCCTCACAGTCGTTTACTCACAGAAAAAACCATTTTCCTGGATCCCTTTTGCGCATGCTGTGAAACAGTGTTGGAATAACCAAATGCTCTCTGGCAGTGCATTGTTCACAAAGGCTGCTGGGGACACAGTGAGGGATCGTGGGGACACCACGAGGGGACACGGTGAGGGGACACTGTGCAGGGACCCTGTGTGCCCCCCCAGGGCTGAGCTTGGCTGGCACCAGTGCAGGGGTGTGGGGAGCAGCTGGGACAGGGCTGGCAGCAGGGCCTGGCTGCTGCAGTGCTGCTGCTGGTTCCTTTGGACTTCCCTGCTAGAAGGGTCTGAAGGCAAAGCTCCTGCTGGGACAAGGGGCTGGCAGCAGGGTCTGGCTGCTGCAGCGCTGCTGCTGGTTCCTTTGGACTTCCCTGCTAGAAGGCAAAGCTCCTGCTGGGAGCACTGGCCATGCCCTTTGGATCCAGCTGATCCAGGGCTCCTTCTCCTGCATGGATTGTGTGCTTCCGCAGGATCAGCCTGGATTCTGCTCCTGCATGGATCCCATGCTCCTTCTCCTGCATGGATCCTGTACTCCTTCTGCATGGATCCTGGGCTCCCTGAGGATTAGCCTGGATTCTCCTCCTGCATGGATCCTGTGTTCTCAGCAGATCAGTTTGGGCTCCTTCTCCTGCATGGATCCTCTGCTTCCAGAGGATCAGCCTGGGCTCCTTCTCCTGCATGAGTCCTGGATCCCAGAGGATCAGCCTGGATTCTCCTCTTGCATGGATCCTGTGTTCCCAGAGGATCATCCTTGCTCCTTCTCCTGCATGGATCCTGTCCTCCCTGAGGATCAGCCTGTGCTCTTTTTCCTGCATGGATCCTGTGCTCCTTCTCCTGCATGGATCCTGGGCTCCCTGAGGATCAGCCTGTGCTCTTTTTCCTGCATGGATCCTGGGCTCCTTCTCCTGCATGGATCCTGTGCTCTTTCTCCTGCATGGATCCTATGCTCCTTCTGCATGGATCCTGTGCTCCTTCTCCTGCATGGATCCTGGGCTCTTTCTCCTGCATGAATCCTGGGCTCTTTCTCCTGCATGGATCCTGTGCTCCCTGAGGATCAGCCTGGGCTCCTTCTGCATGGATCCCGTGCTCCTTCTCCTGCATGGATCCTGTGCTCCTTCTCCTGCATGGATCCTGTGCTCCCTGAGGATCAGCCTGGGCTCCTTCTGCATGGATCCCGTGCTCCTTCTCCTGCATGGATCCTGGGCTCTTTCTCCTGCATGAATCCTGGGCTCTTTCTCCTGCATGGATCCTGTGCTCCCTGAGGATCAGCCTGGCTCCGTGCTCGGCAGTTGGCAGCACAGGCAATGGCAGTCTGGAATTCCCAGATGGCAGTCTGGAATTTGTGCTGTGCTGGCGAGGTACAAGCCATTGTTTCTCTCTTGGCAGAGTGGCTGAGAGAGTCCCAGCACAGTGGGGCCAGGGATTCTCTTGCTCTGTTTATGGCTCTAACGTTTTGCATTGTTTCTGCTGACCTTTGTGTCCCAAACACTTCCCCTTTTTTTGTGAAACTAGGGCTTTCTGCCTTAGAAAACCTTGATGTGGAGAAGTCTGTACAGTGGGAGAACTGAAACAGTTTCATTTTCCCACCTTGTTTTTCTTCAGTGGCCCTTCTGTTCACTTTGAGATGGAAGTGACACAGTTATCCAGCAGGAGCAAACAGACTGGTCCAACTGAGAACTTGAGCCACTTCCAAAATCCCTATACAATATTTCACAAGCTGCATCTGATCCTTGAAGCTCCTTGCTTTCTGTGATTACACCTTCTCTGTTGTCTTTAGTCATCCTGTCTTCCCTGGGGCTCTTTCTGCGTGCCCTTGTGCCGGTCCTTTGGCTCCTGCTGCATCCCTGTGGTACAGGCTGATCCTTCTGGGAAGGAGAAGGGCATCCTCAGCTTATCCAGGTGGGCACACATGCTTTTCCCCAGCAAGGTCCTTCTCCCTGAAGCAGGATACCTTAGCTCCAGCCGGGAACATAGAGCTCCTGCTCTTTGATAAGCATCTCTCAATACCTGAACTGTTTCCTCCGAGTAAAAAGGATTTGAAAGCAAGATACTTGTATCACTTTTGTGCAAGTATCAGATTACAGCATGGAAACCAGATTGTCTGCAATTAGATAACTGAATTAATAGGAAGGCAGACATAATCCTGTACAATGTGAAAGAGGTTCATTGTTTGCCTGCAGATACTGAAATTTCTTCGGTTCACCCTCAGAAAAGCACTGTTGTGTTTTCCAGAGTGGCACAGAATTTGATCTGCTCTTTCTTTCACCTTTGGGATGGGGTCCAAAGTTAATTCCCTGCAGATCACCTTACTTTATGAACAAGAGGAGCTCCTCCTGCAGTGCCTGTGCTGGGGAGAACCAGCTGGGAATGCTGTGGAGCTGCACACCGGGAACAGGAGCAATCCCGGGCTCAGAGATCCCTCTCCCAGCCTGGTGGAAGAGGCCAGGAGCAGATCCTGGGCTGTGGGTGAGCTGCCAGGGGAAGGGGCAGCATGCAGCTGGTACTGCCCAAAGCAGAATGCCCAAGCCTGCTGGTTTGACCCTCCAAAAATACATTTTCCCCTGTTCAAGGCATGTAGAGGAGAAGGAATTGTCTAACAGCAGGGAAGTGTATGAGCTGTCAGATGTGATTTGCCTGTGATTACACCTCAGCTTTTGAATTGGATCCCTTTAGGGCTGGGACACTGGTGCTCACCAGCCCGCTCTCAAATCCCTGGGAGCTTTGTGGAGATGGATGACACAGCCTGAAACTTGGTGTGTCATTTTTTATGCCTGTGGACAGGGTTCAGCGGTGAGCTCAGCAGCGCTGGGGTAATGCTTGGACTTGCTGGCCTTGATGGTCTTTTCCAGCCCAAACGCTTCGTTGTTTTACGATGTTTCTGTGATTCCACGTCCTGCATGAAGCCCCAGCGCTGCTGCCAGAGGCTTTCCCTGCTCCCGGCGCTGCTTCTGGCGGCAGGCTGCGGCGAGCCGGGCGGCGGAGCCTCCCCGTTCCCCGCTCCGCTTTCCACCTTCCTTGGGCTGTGGTGCCTCCTGCTGCCGGGCTGCGGGGTCTCTGTGTCCCCGCCGGGCCCCGGGATGCGGGGATTGTCCCCAGAGCCGCGCGGTGGCGCGTTTGTCCCGGGAGCGGCGGCGCGTTTGTCCCGGGAACGGCGGCGCGTTTGTCCCGGGAGCGGCGGCGCGTTTGTCCCGGGAGAGGAGGCGCGTTTGTCCCGGGAGAGGAGGCGCGGGGGCTCGGAGCCTCCGGGGGCTCGGAGCCTCCGGGATCCGCCCGCCCCAGCTCCCTGTCCCGGTCCAGCTTCATTGCGTTTGTTATTTGTGATGCGTTTGGATATTATCTGTATACATACACAGATTGTTTAATATTATATTTGTTATAATTGTTATATATATAACAATTAAAAATAAATATATATAACAATTATAACAAATTATCTATTATATATATAATATATATTATATATAATATATATAATATTATATATTATATATGTATTTTATATATATATAACATATATACTATATATAATATATAGTATATTGTATTACTCTATATATATACAATTGTATGTATATATTACTATATATATACTATATATATTATATATACTATTGTAAGTATATATTACTATATATATAACTATATATATATTACTATATATATTACTATATATATAACTGTATATATTACTATATATATATTACTATATATTACAATAGTATATTATAATTACTATATAAAATAATATATTTATGTCATCATATATAATTAATAATAGGAATAATAATTCTACTTTATAATTTATAAATATTAATAGTCACGATGATATAATATATTATTATATATAATATATATTGTGTATATAATATTACATATAATAATATATAATATATATTCTATTATTTATATTATATTTATTGTAATGATGTGCATTATATATTATTTTAATTTTATTATATGTATACATTATTATGCATATTATCAATATTATTATATATTATCTCTATACATTATTATATATTATCTGTATACATTATCCATATACAGATATCTGTTATATTATCTGTATGCATTATTCATATACAAATATCTGTTATATTATCTGTATACAGATATCTGTTATATTATCTGTATACATTATCTGTATACATATAAAATATCTGTATAATGTATTCCATTATTTTTAATTGCCACTCTGGAATGAATCTTGGCAAGATCCATTTGCCCTAAATGCTGTATTTTTTAAAGAATAAGCCTAAAGAGCAGCAGCAGCAGCAGCGCTTTTCTTCTCCTCTGCCCAGGTAATAACAGATAACAGAATTTGTGCCAGTGAGAGCGCTGCTGAATTCTGCACCTGTCCTGGTTTCTGGTTTTGAGCACAGCTGTCAGAGTTCCCAGTCTGGCCTAATGAGGTCGGTGCCTCTCTGTGCCATAACTAATCTGGACAGACGAGCTGTTGCTTTATTCCTTTCACTAATTGCTTGTGGCTGTTAAAGCTTTTCATGCTTTAAAAAAGTGAAAGTCAATCCCCAGAAAATTCAGGAAATGATAACAGTCTCTGTGCTGGATGGAGGGGAGATGAGAAGACTTTTGATTTGTAATTTGTGGTCTAACTAATTAAGAAAGAACAAAACATAATGGAAGCTTTGTTGATTTTATTTAACAGAAAATCCAAGCTGGTTAATTTTTGCTACGTGGATTTAAATGCAGAATGTGGGGTGCCTGGACCTCCCCAGCCTCACTAAGGAGAGGGTAAGGAGCTCCCCTAAAAGCTATAATTAGAAAGGCAGCGATTTCCTCATGAGTTTTTATGTTTGAAGTGTTTTAAATGGCCTGGTCTCATCCACAGAACTCCCTCCCTGTCTCCTTCTCTGCCTGCTTCCCTCCCCAGTTTCTCTAATGTGGGTCATGCCTCCACGTTTGCAGGTGGCACAGTACAGAATCTGCATTTTTCTTTTTCAAAGTTAAAGTGTCTTTGAAATATGCTTTTGCATCTAATGCAGAACGTAATAAAAAGACTTTAAAGAGCTGCTGACGCCTCATGGAAAAGTGAAAAACATTCTGTTGAGAAACAATCCTGCTAGGCTGTCTTATCTGCTGTTCCCTTTGCTCATTTTTGATAGCAAGGGGCACTATAAATATATGTAACTATACATAAAAATGAGAAACCTTGGCAACCAGAGAGAAGGTTGGCTGTTTTCTCGTGTTCCCTCACTGTGGGCAGGTGGGTGAGGGTAGACAGAGTTCATCAGTCTCGTTTCATCTTTACAGCTCCTCTGCTGACGCCGTGGCCGTTTGTTCAGCGCTGGGCTGAAAGGGAGTCACGTAGCAGTGGATTATTTTTTCCTAGAGGTATTTGTTAACCCTCTAAAAATAGCAGCAGTGGTTTCTGGGGCGCTCTGGCAGGGCTGGCGGTGGAACAGGGAGGAAGCGACGCTCCGGAGCCGGAGGACAGGAGCTGCCATATGGCACTGGGGCCGGGCTGTGCTTCCCTGGAGAGGGGCAGCGAGGCAGGCAGGGGTGGCTCCCTGCTCCTGCTGGCTCCAAGGGCAGGGCAGTGCTGGTGTCACACTGTCCTGGTGTCACCCTGGGCTGCTGGGTCATCCCGAGGGTGCTGGGGGCAATCCCTGCGGGAATTCCCAGGCTGTTGTGTTGTGGGGTGCCCAGACAAAGGAGGAATGAGGAATCTGACTCCATGTTCTCAGAAGGCTAATTTATCATTTTATGATACTATATTATATTAAAGAATACTAAACTATACTAAAGAATACAGAAAGGATACTTACAGAAGGCTAAAAAGATAATAATGACAACTCATGACTCTTTCCAGAGTCCAACACAGCTTGGCCATAATTGGCCAATAAGTCAAAATAATTCACAAGAAACCAATGAAACAACCACCTGTTGTTGGATAAACAGTTTCCAAACCCATTCCAAAGCAGCAAAACACAGGAGAAGCAAATGAGATAATATTGTTTTCCTTTTTCTCTGAGGCTTCTCAGCTTTCCAGGAGAAGAATCCTGAGCAAAGGGAGTTTTCTAGAAAATATGAATGTGATACCAGGCACCCGCACCTCCTGGACTGCTTCCTGTGACCATGTCAGAAACCCATGACAGCTCCTTTCACCTGCTCTGCAGAACACAGGGGTTGCCTTGTGGAACTAACAGAATTGTTGTTGTCATAGATGGGACCCCACACAGGCAGATTGCTGCTGCAAGGAGAAACTTTGATTATTTCCAAATGACTGGGCAAAAGAACCTGCTTGACCCCCTCCTTCCTGACAGCTCTTGCAAAGAACATCTCTGTCAGAAGCCCAGAAGAGTCTGCTGAGAGGGGCTCAGCCTCTGTACAGTGGATGGAAAATCCAGATCTTGGAGCCTGGCTTGCAGAAAGGAGCTACTCATTGCAGATGGAACCCACAGTGCTGCATTGCTGAGCTAAGAGCTCCTTGGCTGTTAAGTTTTCCAGTAATTTTCCCAGGTAAATGATGCACCTGCCATAGCCTCAGGAGAAAATGTTTATTGCCGTAGTGTTCAGAGAAATAAAGTTATTTTGGCACTGAAATACTGTACTCCCCTCCAAAACTGCACCTTGTTCATGCTGTCATAAATGGTAAAGCTGAAACCACAGAAGGTGGGCTGAAATCTCTGTAAGGTGTTGCAAGAGGTGCTTTCCTGTCATTAGCATTTCCTGAAGTGAGAGCCCTTCTGCAGGAATTCTTGAGTGCATTATTAGCAAGTCGTGTGGAAAAGAGCTGCTCGGACAAAGGACAGCTGGTTTCCAGCTGGGGTCTGCCAGGGCTGCCACAAGTGGCTGAATGATGTGGGACAGCGTGGTGGTGCAGGCAGCCTGGCAGGGCAGGCCTTGTGAAAAATGCCCCTTTTCAGCAGGACAAAGCAAGCAGTTGCCTGGTAAAGAAGGCAATCCAATTTCAAATCAAGGGTCAGTCAGGAAGGCAATATGAAGCAGCTCAGTACACTCCAGAGTGGGGCTGTGAGAGGCTACAAATCACAGGTAATGTTTACATGGAAATTGCAGCTCTGTGAGATGCCACCCAAGGCTGGTGGGATTCCTTTTAGGAACTTGGAACATCTCTTATTTAATTTGTTTGCTTTCCTGCACTTGTGACTTGGTGTTCTCTGAAATGATGAGGTGACATACAGGTATGTTCTGTTGTTCTGTGCGCAGAGCAATCTTGGTGTTCTCTGAAATGATGAGGTGACATACAGGTATGTTCTGCACAGAGCAAGCCAGCCGTGCTGGGTGAGTGGGCTCAGACATCTGCACAGTATCATTCCCCTGTCACCAACTAATGGTGGTATAATTAGAAAAGTCATTAATCCTTGCTCAGCAGTGCTAGAAACTATTTATAGCAGGGCAGAAAGCCCTGCACGTGAGGCTAGGGTGGGTATGGAAATTGCTTCTGGTGCCATGTGTGTTGTGGGGCCCAAACGAAGAGGGTAATGATTTGCTTCCAGGAGGGAACTTCCTTTCTGACCCTGTGGAGACAGTGCAAACTGTCTCACCTGCCTGAGATATCACCCTCTGGGCCAGCTATGGGCAATCCCTTTTGACATCCCCTGCAGGCTTGGGTGTCCTGGGGGGAGCCCTGTCCTCCCAGCTACATCTCCCCCTGCTGTGGATGTCCTGGCAGGGCACTGCTTGCCCCAAGGCCCAGGGCTGGCACACTGCACCTGGGCTCAGCCACCAGGGAGGTTTTGAGATGCTTTGGCTGGTAGGAGCCCTTTACTCAGCTCTCCTCCTCCCTGGGGGCTCCAGCTGTACCTGTTCACTGGGTGTGATGCTGCTCTCTGCCTCCAGACTGATGCTGGCAGCACCGGCACAGGTTGGTCCCCGGGTCTCTGAGCCACAGGAGAAACTGGGGCATTGGCGATGCTCAGTGAGTCACAGGCGAGGGAAGCTGCTATTTACAGGCTTCCAGGACACAGCTCAGCTTGGCTGAGTCCTTGTTTTCCCTGTGTTTTCCATGTTTTTCCTGGGCAGGAGTCAATATTTCTGCATGAGGGGTGCAGTCATCTCCCCGCGCCTGGGCTTCGCCTTGGTGCCCGCCCTTGGTGTGTCACCATGATACCTTATGAAAATCCCTTTGCCAGGATTTTTTCTCCTGAGAAGCTGAGAAGCCTCAGAGGAAAAGAAAAACAATAATTATCTGCTGCTGTGGAATGCAACAGGTGCATCTTTGATTGGTCCATGTGAGTTGTTTCTACTTAATGACCAGTCATGGTCCAGCTGTGTTGGACCCTCTGCGAGTCACAGGTTTTTATTATTCATTCCATTCCTTTCTAGCTTTCTGATGGATCATTTCTCTCTATTATTTTTAATATAGTTTTAGTATAGCATTTTAATATCATATACTATCATAATATAATAAATCAGCCTGCTGAAACATGGAGTCAAGATTCTCATCTCTCCCCTCGTCCTGGGGACCCTTGAATACAATGACACTTGGTGAGGGGTGGGAGGACCTTGGGACTTTCTGAAGCAGCCAGAGAGGCTGCAGTGGAGAACTGCTGGGTGCTGGGCAGTGTGCAAGGAGCCTGTGGAGCTGGTGCAGGCAACCAGTGCCTGGAAGTGGAGAGCTGCAGCAGCTGCGGGAGTGGGTGCTGGTGAGGTGCTGGGGGAGCTGTGGAGCTGTGCTGGGGTCAGCTGAGGTGGCATCGTTCAGAGAAACGCTCCCGTTGTCAAGTTAAACACTTCACTGGGTTCTGCCTAGTGAGGCACAAATAGCCTGTCTGTGTGCTGGCAGTCAGGCAGCAGCATAACCACAAGGGAAATATGTTTCTGTCTGGGCTCGCTGCATCTTCCAGGCTTTGCTGGAACGATTTCTCAAAGAAAGCATAAAATTATTTTAGCCTCTGAGATTAGTGGACCAAGCCTTTCTCTCTTTGGAAAAGAGACTGAAATCCCTCTGAGGGAGGCCTGGTGGGCTGCACTGTGGTGGGACACGGGGAGGGGGAGAGGACCTGTTGGAAAAGGGGCACCCGCTGTTTCAGCATTGCGGGAAGTCCCAGCGCTGCCTTTGGCTGGCAGAAGGAGCACTCGGGCTCTGTGGTGTGCCTGGATCATAAAAGGTGACCTCGGAAATTGCATTTCCAAACATTTTCCCCTCTCTGGGAACGATGGCATTGTTCCCAGTGTTTCAGGCTGGGACTGCCTGGGGCTCTTTGTTCAAACTCCCTGGGTGCTGCAATTCCAGCACAGAGCTAATGATGCTTCGCCAGAGCCTGGGATCCTGGGAGGCGGCTGGATCAGCCTTTTGTTATCCCGAGGATTAAAAACTGCAGCTGGGAATGAGCTGCAGAAATCAAAGTCACTTATCTAGAGACATCCCGCGGGCATATTTAGCAGTGTGATGGAGCCAGGGTCAGCCACTCCTTCAGGTTGTTTCAAGCAGCACGAGAAGGCAGCAGGACCCACAAACCTCAGTGAAGAGGCACAGCTTTCAAACATGCTCAGAAAACTTTGTTTTGCAAAGAACCTGCTGCTGATTTCACCGCTGAATGTCAGGAAAGGAGAAGTCCAAAGTGCCGCAGGAGAGAATCTGAGACGTGGATGTCACAAAGGCTCAGGGAGTGCCCAGGTGCAGTGAGCACTGCTGACAGCAGCTCTGGGCACGGGAATGGGCTCCTGGCTGTGTCACACCTGGGCAGCCCCACCTGTGCTCACGGCTGAGGGCTTTGGGAACTCTGATGTGAAGTTTTCTCAAGCCTCTGCCTCCTTCTTTCGGATAAAGCCAGGAGCTGCTGTGCCCAGCACCAGTGCTGCTTTGTGCCCTGCATCCATCTGCCATCTCTGCTCTTAATGGAAACAGGAGCTGGATTTGGGAAAGGAGTGGCACAGAACTGGAGGGAGCTTTCATCTGCCCACAGCCACTTGCAGCAGTGGCTGCTCTGTTTGTCCCAGGTTGCAGTGGAAATAAGGTGCCAGTCCAGGCAGGGCGTGCTGCAGGGATGCACTTGCAGCAGTGGCTGCTCTGTTTGTCCCATGTTGCAGTGGAAATAAGAGATGTCTCTCTGATAAACACTGGGCAAGTGACTGTGCCCTTGCCTATGGTTTCCTCTCCTCTTCATTCCCCCATGCCTGAGAGTGCAGGAAATGGAACCTGGAGAGCACTGTAGAGGCCAAGGGAGGAAGGGAAATAGAAAATGCCGTCAGGAACAGCAGGTGTTGCTGCATCGCATGGTGGTGAAGCATCATTTCTCCTCTCCTCAGAATTCACTCTGAACCCACAGGCTGATGTCAGATTGTTCCAGGGGAAGGCCTGGAACGGTGTCCCCTGGAGTATGTGGCACAGCACACGCCAGTTGTTTTACTGACATGTAAATGAGACAGAAGGTGGATTTTTAAAGTGCAAGATGCAGCTCCTTGCAGCAATCCCCCTCTGTCAAAGAAGGTGACCTGCTCCCCTCCTGGTGCTGATGTGCTTGGGCAGGTTTTGCAGTGTCCTTTGGTGGGCTCTGATGTGCAGGCACTGAGCTGTGAGTGCACACAGGAGCTGGGCACACAGCAGCTCCACAGCCTTTCCAGGAAGGAATCAGCTCCAATTTGTGATCTGCTTTGTTCCATGTCTGTGGTAACCTCTCCTTCTTTGGAGAATAAGATTTTAAAGAGCTTATGAAAATGATCAAACCCTTCAGCTTCACTACTGTGATTAATCAATCACAGCTGCTGCTTTACAGCTCCTTGTTTTGATGTGTTTTGGGTTGTTCCAAAGTTAGCCCAGCTCAGGGCCAGGAAATATATTCCTGAGCCCTGCAGGGTTCTGGAATAGAGCAAAAGGCAAGTTTTCAACATGATTTCCAACATTTCTTGTGCCTAGCCTGCCATTTATTGCTAGTGAGCATGGGATGCTCCTGGGAATTACACAATCCCCCCCCAAAAAAATGTGAGAAAGGGATTTAAGAACCAGCTCTTCCCTGAATGGTAGCTACATCATTGCAAATATTGTCTTATCTACCCTTAGCACTGAAGTATCTGAGACTCCAGGTGGCATCTCTAAAGAGTTTGTGTCAATTTTGGAGGCTTAGTTGCATGGCTTAAATGCTCCTTAACACTTGGTTGTTTTTTTTTTTTTTTTACAGCTAAAGAGCCAAGCAGGATCATGAAGCTCAGATAGTTTGTAAAACTGCTGTCAAGCAGATTAAGCTGGAAATGGAAAATCTGCTGGTGAAGTCTTTCCTTTCAAACGTTTGTGTGATAGAGAGTGATTTAAAGTCCATTTCACCACTGAGGTGAGGCCCTAGGTAGCAGAAGGACAGTGGGATGGCTCAGCCTGCTGCATTGCACAGACAAAATCCTCGAGACTGTCTGCAAAGTACATTAATTAGAAACAAATTAAATTACACAGACTCAGCTCTTGGAGGTCCTGACAACACCCCATTAGTGCCCCTCAGCCCTGGCTGGGCTGTGGGTGCCTGCAGAGCTCTCAGAGGCCCCAGGCCCGTTCTGCTGTGGCTCTGATGTGTGCCACATCTGCCTCCCAGAAACAGGGATTGCTGAAGCATTTTTGTCAGACCCTGGCAAAGCTGACACCTGGACAGCAGAGTTTGATGAGAAAAGGGGGAGGCATGTAACCACCCTGATTAGCCAAATGTTCAGGAGGGGAACGATGCAAGCTTAGTTTTACCTGGCTTTGGAAGTGAAGGCACAAAGGAGCCTTTGCATATCTTGACATGCAAGACAAGTACGCCACAGTTCCTCTGGGGTGCAACCACCAACTGCCTCGAGCTGCAAAGCCTTTAAGCCATCTCTCCTCCCCTGTGGAGACCCAACAACCTCATCCCTGCTGGGGGATATTATGGGGCCTGAGGGAGGTGAAGCAGAGCCAGATTAACTGCCTTTGTCCTGGCTGTTTGCACAGCCTTACACCTGGAAGGACAGGGCTCCAGGTACAACACCTCTCTACTCCATCACATCCCCCTCTTCTTACCTCATCTGCTGGCAAATGGGGCACCAGCCAGGTCAGCAGAGCTGGGACAGAAAGCCTGCCTGCTACCAGCTAGCCCTCACCCTCCTCTCCACTGCAGGCAGCAAGGATGGCATTGCCACTGCAGGTGGTACATGGCTGTGCTCACCTACAGCCCGGGCTTCCAGGACTGTCACTCTGCATCCTGACGTGGCTTTGCCTGGGGATAGCGTGCACAAAGACAAGGGAAATCCATATTCTTTCTTTACTGGATTTCAGAGTGGAGAGAGAGCTTGGTTTGAGTCTGACATCACAGACTCCCAGGCACGTGTGTCTCATGCTGTATTAGGGATCATCTTCCCATCACGTAGTTTGCAGGGGTCTGTGTGCCCCTGATTTCTCCTTGCCTTGTTCATTGCCTTGCTCTGCTCTGACCCTGGCCTGGGGTACTTGTTCAGTGCCTGCTGCTTCCCCTGGGGCCGTGACCAACCTTTGACTGGAAAGGAACCCATCCCGTTCCCTGTGGCATTTGCTGTCCCAGCTGCTGCGTTGAGGGAGCCGTTCCTGCCCGTGCAGGAGCTTGCCTCCCACTGTCCCCGCGTGCTGTGTGTGGTGGGCGCCTGCAGTGCCAGGCATGCTCGCTCCAGAAATCCAGGGTATTAAAATGAGTGTGTCATCTGCAGAAGTAAGAGTCTGGGAGTATGTTCTCCCTGGCGACTGCGATACCCTTCACAGCCCCTGCAAATCAGACACGCACATCCTTCTATTTTCACAGTGGGGAAAACTACAGACTCACAGAATGACTTGGGCTGGAAGGGATAGCAGAGATCATCCAGTTCCAACGCCCTGACATGGGCAGGGACACCTTCCACTAAACCAGACTGTCCCAAGTCCCAGCTAACCCATCCTTGAGCACCTCCAGGGATCCAGGGGCAGCCACAGGTTCTTTGGGCAGCTCCATCCTCACAGGGAGCAATCCCTTCACACCTCTGATTCCAATCTCCCCTCCTCCCGTTCACAGACATTTCCCCGCGTCCCACCGCGCCAGTCCCGTCCCGGGGGGCGGCCGGGGCCGAGCGGCGGGGCCGGGGGCTGCGGGCGGGCCCTGCGGAGCGCGGCGGAGCCAATGGCGCTGCCGGGGAGGAGCCGCGGCCCCGGCCCGGCCCCGCCCGCCGCCCCCCCCCCC